ATAATTACATAAACATTTGTACCAAGTACAATAGCAATACATAATAATACTCAAGACTCAAGCACATAATAGACCCAAACTTGTACGAATCCATAGGGCCAGACAATATACCGAGTGGCCTTATTCCTTTCCTCAAAGAGATTGGATAAACAAATTTAGTAACAATATTGTTCTAATGTAGGTACATTTACTTCTATAAATAAATTGTACATACAAAAATGTGTATGCATAATATACAAATATCTAATAATATCATCATTGTGTTATCCCCATATTATACCAAACTGCAATATTGTGCAGTGCAATGAACCATCCAGGCATAGAAAATATAGCTTTAATAGTAGTAGCGACATTGGTTTGGTCGCCAATAATTTCATTTCTAAAACAAAGATTATTTAACGAGTTATTTATTAACTTCTTTCGGTACCTATACCTATAATACCTATAATCTATAGCTAATTGATGAACATAAGTTTTGAGTTTTTAATTATTTTAATATTGGTAACCAATCAGTTTAGTGCTCACACACACACACACACACACACACACACACACACACACACACATACAAATTAAATAAAATTATATAAATAAAGACAGGATCGCTTTTGGCCAACGAAGCAAATGAGCTGAGGCAGCACTTTGTGAAAATTGAATATTTTAAGAACATAAGCACCGATTTATCGGGGCAGTGCTGGTTTTAACAGTAATATACTTATGTTTGTGGTGTGTTTCTTTGAAACCAGTAATTTTGTGTTTATTTTAAAATACGGGTATATAAGAATATTCAAATAGTATGAATTATTTTATTTTGTGTACCTCTCGAGATATAGGTATACGACAGAACCTACCTATAGAGTTTATATAAGTATAATGTATGATAATTCAATGTTAGTGGAATTATAGATTGCTCATGAGTCATGGCCAATTTTTCGCAAAAACATATTTTCCATACCTGTATGGCAGTGTAGTTAGGACAATAAAAAAATGGTAAGTCAAATTGTTACACTGATTTAGCGATCAGTATAATGTTAAGATACAAAATATGTTGTATTAAGAGCAATTAGTCCATGACCATATTGTTATCAACGTCCAGTGAAATTATTGCACCGCAGCAACCGTGACGATGTGACGCTTTTACGACAAATATATACCTATATATATTTTATTCCTGTATATTTTATATTTTATGACGATTGCACCTTTTGTCGCCGCTGCGCAAGCATATCGCTATTATTTTTATACAACTTTGAGTGCCTCATGATGTAATATATATTTTTGGGGAGGTTTAGCACCCCGGGTTCCACCCCTATATATCTAGTCACCACGCCTATAAGTCCATCGTTGACGCTACGTTGGCCCATATTGTACTTTTCTACATTCGAGAACGCCGTTCCTCATTCGAATTCCGGTTATATATATTATATTATTTTATTAATAATATTGTTCTGTTATGTTTATTACCTACACTATTAGTTATAACGTTCGGTATTGATTCTAGACGAGTTTATGATGGGGAAACAAACTAGATGTTATACTATGGCTGGGATTAATATTTTCCGCGGGCCACATTAAGAATTCGGAAAATTCTCGCGGGCCATAAAAATTCATAGTACATAGTAATTACTATAATATGCCGGTTGGTCAAAAGTACTTTATTTCTAAAAAAAATATATACACTTATTAATTATTATTTTTATACTGATAACGGAAAAAGTGTCAATAACTCTTCGTAAAATGTCCCACTGATATTGCTCAAGTATCTCACGTGAATTATTAGCTGAGATGTATCTGTAATATCACAAGATTCAACCAAGGCTATAGAATAAAAATCAGCAGTAGATAGATCTTGTTTCAATGGATTGTGATTATCTTTGGCCAGTACTTCAGTATTTCTCGTGTTAGTGGATGCTGATATTGGGATATAACGAAAAGTTTCGATAATTTATTTTTTATTTTTAAATAGTATATTTACAGATTGAAGCATACATCCTTTAACAATATCAGCATCTGTAAATGGCTTCATATGTTTACCTAGTATCAACGAAATTTGTAAAGATGTCTGTGCACATTTCAATAATATTCAAATTTACTTTTTAGGTTGTATTTTTTCAATTTTATGAAATTATAGTATTCAATTAAAGTCCAATTTAAAAAACAATGTACTTTTACCATCATATGCAAAAAAACATACGTATTTTTAAATTATTTTATAATCGTTCTGTCAGTATATACACACGAACTATATCATCAGCTAAAATTTGGTCGGTCTCGCTTATACCTTTATATATTCAAGATAGGCTGTAAATAGTACATATAAAACAGTATCGTTATGAGGTGGGTATTTAGTTAAAAAGTTATTTTTTTTTAACTTTGTAACTTAACTAGTTAGTTAATTTTCTAATCAACTTTTGAACGTAATAAGTTTAATTTACAGTTGAAACTCTTTAGCTTTTTTCAGTCGATTGCAAGTCCATCAAGTTCAACAGTTTTATTCGAATTTATCGATCTTGTGTTCTTAAATTAAACCATTACCTATTTTCGTTAACTTTTCCCCTTTAGTCGTTTTGAATGTTGTAGAATATTATATATAGGAACTTATATGGTCAGAGTCAGCCTTAAAGTGAAGCGTGGCCTGCGGCAATCTGTTTGAGGCGAGCCCTCAGAATATATAATTTCTTATAACTCAATGCCCAAAATGTCACACAATTGTCCCCTGTCTAAAGCCAGCTCTATATATGATTGTTGCGTATGGATATGACTGTATTGTGGTAGTGATACGGTTGACTTTAGGACTAATCGTTTGAAACTTTATCTTATTTTTGCCACACACGAATCGTATTTTTCATATTTATTATCATCCATTATTATTTATCAATATATATATATATATACATAGCTGTCAACAACAACCGCATGTCCGCATTGTCAGTTAGTCTCTCCATCCCAGCACATTATAATATGTTGTTGTTCACTCACCGATCGATGAAAGAACGGCCCACCGGAGATTACGCCCAAGTCCTCGTACGAGATGCAGTTGTACAACACACCGAACAAGCAGATGGTTTTTCTGCACAATACATATAAAGCGATGTGAATTAAACCGTAATATGTTTATGAAATTGACCATGTTTAATGTTTATCGTTTATGCGCACGTAGGTACATGTATAATATGGTTCTTTAAACGATTGGCAGGATTTTATTATTCGAGATGACTATCTATACATGATATTTTATTATTACACTATAGTTGGTCGAAATAGCCACATATATATTATATATTACATATCCGTTTTAATGATTTAAAATAAAAATACCTAACACGAGATCAATGATCTTAAGTTTTGAATTTTCCTAGACCTAGGTTAATGTGAATCTAAAATAATTCTACGCCTAAAGTACGTACATTACTATAATATTTTATAACAATAATAATATATCTTATACTTCGATGCTTTTCGAATCCAACGATACAAACTTCGAGGTGACACTTAGTAATAACAGGTAAAAGGTCACTTATCGGTTACCTCCGATCTTTTTTTTGCTAATATATAAACGACTTTTTAAAGTATGCTCTCCGAAAGTTGGCTGACCCGTAAGTTATCATTACCCCATTTAACCGATTTAATTATGTTGTACACGATGTGGATTATATGTTCATTTTTACACTCCTTAAAAAAATGTATATACCCCTTTCCAAATCATCTCTTGTCAGGATGACTCATTAACTCTTATTAGTTTCTTATTCGATGCATGAAGCTTTTTGTAAGAAATTTGACTCTCTCTCACTCTCTCTCTCTCTCTCTATCTCTCTCGATGATTGTTTCAGAATGATATGAATAGAATGTATTCAGAATGATGTTGATAAATTTATGAAATCTACCAAATTCTTTAGATCGTTCCTTAACATCGACAAATGGAAATCCAAGTTCTATATATTAGAATAGAGGCTATAATCCTATTACTTTTACCTATACTTTATCGACAATTTAGGACTCCCTTCATAATTTATATCGATATAAATACAAATGTACTGTATATATTATTTTGGCTTCGTGATCGCACAATAATTTTCTCAATATTCTCCTACGACCTACTGCAGCCGCGTTCTATAAAATCTGGACTATGCATGATATTATCATCATTTCGAACAACAGAGCACTGTCGTTTTTATAATACTGCATGTGGTAAAAAATACATAAAGGTGGATTAATTTTTTTTTTACCTTGTACGTTTCGCACAGTTGGCGGCTTTATTTTTTAGACTTTTCCGAGATTATGACGTAGGGGCGTACCATGACATATATATCAGGATCCGATATGTCACCACCAATATGTGACCACAACCATATACCTCGTGGCTAGTAATAACGTATTATACAAACCGCACATGCAATGTAATAATACCCGGCATAATATAAACCGAAATAATAATAATAACCACCGGTTAGCATGTAGGTACACGCGGGTCTTAGCCGGTATAATATTATATCGGACGTCTTATTTACGACGCGTTTTTGCGATCCGAACGGCCTTCGGATCGAAACGATTGGCGGCCGACTATATTATATTGCAACGTGATATATATATATGTACAAGGATCGTATATTATACATTATAATAATATATATACATTATAATATTGATCGCCTATTGTGGCCGGCCATATAGTACGTGCCCGTTTATTAAATCTCTCTCTCTCTCAAACTGTCTCTTTCTCTTTCTGTCTCTCTCTCTCTTTCTCTCACTCTCTGTCTCTCTGTCTTTCTCACTCTCTCACTGTCTCTATGTCCCTCTATCCGCCTGTCTCTGTCAGTCTCTCGTCCACCTCGACTCGGTCAGTCTTCTCTATCCACATGTGCCTATAATACGTGTACGTACCCACACGCATGCATCACGCGTGCGCGGCCCGTCTCGCGGTGTCGCATTCGATTTCGTTTGATTTCTTCCGTTGTTTTTACGACGTGCGGCGGTGACGTGACGTCACACTCGCGCGTACGCGCATAATATATAATAATAATAGTAATATTATAATATTATGGGCCGTGTTGCCAATGCGTCGAGACGAATTTCCATAACGAACACGGGCGAGCGCGCGCGCGCGTGTGTGTGTGCGTAGACAATGTGCGCGCGGGCTCTCTTTGAACTCAAACCCATTAGAAATGCTAAACCCGGCACTGCAATATATGCGTGTACCGTACAGGTCGTGAGCTGTTCTATACCTATACTGATGTGTAATATGTATGTATTATAATATGTACCTACACGGCGGACGAGCCCCGAGTTGGCGCGGAGGTAATTATTGAATATTTTATATTTTATTTGAAAAAAAAAAAACGATAACACTGTGGTGCGCCGACTAAGCCGACAGAAGAACGACGACTATACGATATATTATACAGGTACGGCGGAAGAAAAAATAAGAGATGGAAACGAAATTGTTTTGAAGAAAAAAAAATAGTCACAAAAGGCACGTAATTGAATATCGGTGACACCACACGAACGAGCGCGCGTTAATATTACATATTATTATTATTATTATTATTATATATGCGCGTATACAATATTATAATATTATGTTTTTAGAACGGGACGGTCGTGCGCGTGCGCGCGTACCTTCGCATGTACGCGGCCTGTAGACGCGCGCGCGCGAGACGAGGGGACCCCACGCGGGTTGACACCCATTCCGCGGCCGACAGCCAATGGCTCGACGCGGCCTTTTTCGCGAGGGGTTCTGCGAGAGGTGCCCCTGCGAAAAAACAAAAACACAAACGAAAAAGACGAAAAAGAATATGGCCGTTTGCCGCAAATAATAATTATCGCGTATACACAGAATAATATTATATTATATAGGTGCCGACCGCCGGCCGTACGCGTACAGTGTTATTACCATCATTATTATACCACCGTTGTGTGCGTGTACCTCGACGGTGACAATAATTTATAATATACAAAATATATAATATATAACGTTATTACCACTATGCGATGTAAGTACGCTGCAGCAGTCGCGGTTTTCTACACTCCGAAGTCGTCCACTGAATTGCTATTTGTTTTTTAAATATTATATTATTTGATTGAATAATACTAATAATAATAATAGTAATAGTAATACCTGTACGTCATAGTGTCGCCGTCGAGTGCACAAGCACTACATATTTCATGCGCGTACGCGTCGCGTCGTCGCACGAACGCCGACCGACGTTTGAAGATTTTCGTCCGTTTGTCGGAAAACGGTAGCCGCGGGCCGCCGACCGCCGCCGCCGAGTGCGTTCATCGCTCGTAACGACTCCGATATTACAGTACTATTACTATACACTTACCGCCGACGTACTTGAGTACAACTCTCGTCGTTATGCGCGTACTGGACTCGTTTTTCGCCGACATGTATCGACGTGCATAGTGCGTGTGATAACATAATATAATTGTTATCAAAATCATTTTCATCGGATCCGAACTTGGGTGGAATATCGTCCGCGCAGACGACCAGACATGTACTCGGCACATTACAACGGATTCACGTTTCAAGGTAAGATTGCACATGCGATGTTATCGTATTATTTTTATTTTTACATCATTCGGACCATTCGGTCACAGAATAGGTATTTAATAGTATTTCACCTATTCTGTGATTAGGCTTTACATAATATATAGCCATATAGGTGTATATTAGGTATACAGTAGGTTATAACATAGGGTTAGGCCATCGTATGTAGATACTCATAACTATTTATAATATGATAACATCCCCTATTGGAAATAACAGTTGGTTAAAACGTGCAATATAATAATATTGTATCCCGCGGTTTTGAACGATTACTGCCTTGCAGCAGCGTTTTTTGAACCTTTTTGTATCCCATGGCGAGTTAGGTATATAAATAATAATTATAGTATACCACCTGTTATACGTTTTAAAAATTTGCACGTGCCACTTAATATAAATAAATCGCTTTAAACCCCATTAATAAGAAAACTATAAATTATTTTATTAGGAATTAATGATTATTATAAAACGTGATAAATATAGCTAGGTATATATTATCATACCTACATATTATGATAAACTTTCATCACATAATTAGCAAAGTAGAACATTACCTAAATCATTATTATTTTTTAAATGGACAAGTGATTACCGTATGCCTACGCATGTTTATTACTTTAATATTTAATAATCATAAATTCTAATTTTTTTTTTAAAAAAAGCTTTTCTTTAGTGTATTATTTATGAAATTTCCGTGTACATTGACACACACAGGTACTATAGATTATAAGAATCACTTGGACTAAGTGATTCGATACTATTTTTAAATTTGTTTTATATGATCAAATAATATTTTTTTTTTTTTTTTTAAACCAACAACACGATTATACAATTTTATACTTTATAGTAGGTAACATCCGTTATATTTTAAACTATATTGCTATATATGCTAAAATACTATGGTTACTGTATAATTAAATATGTCAAATAAAATTATTATATTTTGTACCTTTTATTTCTTATTCATATATAAATTATAAAGTACCTAAGAATAGATTGTAAATTGTAGTGTTTTGCATACTTTTTTGTATTAATAACTGAAAAAAAACTCTTTATTTTGATACAGAAAAATTAACCGAAAATAAATTTTATTTTCATCAAAATATAGCCAAATATTCAACGTTCCTTGGAATGTTGTTGAGAGAGCGTATTTGAGGGATTAGAAAATTCAAGTCTTAAAATCCAATAGGTGCTAAATTAAAAATGTTTTAGATTAATAAACAATTAAAAATAAAAATAAGGTTTCATATATAGCATTTTAAACTAATGTTTAAATTGCTTATGACTTATCATGATATACTATAATTTGTGTCATATCGTGTGGTAACAAATTCAAATGCTTTAAGACAACTGCTCAAGTTTAAAAATTGGTTTTGTAGGTAAACTCAAATTTTTAAAACAGTTTCATAATTTCTGAGCAATGATGACTATACCTACTTATCGTTTGGTATATAAATGTTGACATTCTAGGACAGCATGGATAGGGTATGTGAAGTTGCCCCACCCATATGTATATTTTATTATCGTTATTAATATTGCCATTTGGCTAACTTACAAGTTCTAAAACGATTTAAGTTTTAATCAGATCCTCATATAACCCAGTGCTTGCGAACTTGGTAAGCGACTATCGGATATAATTAAATAGGCAGTATTCAGATGTATAGCGATCAAACTGCAACAGACAATTTATTATATTTTATTAAAACTGTTATCTAGGCCAAGGGCGTGTGAACCAGCTCGGTGGTACGTTCATCAACGGCCGACCATTGCCTAATGTGGTCCGATTGAAAATCGTCGAAATGGCCGCGGCCGGCGTGCGGCCCAGCAACATATCCAGACAGCTCAAAGTGTCACACGGATGCGTGTCCAAGATACTCAACAGATACCAAGAGACGGGCAGCATCCGGCCGGGCATAGTGAACAGCGATCACGTTCAGGTAATTATAGCATACCCAGTCGAATATCCGCAGTAACCGAGGGCACATATTTTACATGAACACACATTGGAATGGGATAGTTGTTACGTCATATTAGTTGCAATTTTACCTATATGTATTATACTATATTCTTAAGAATAAAAAAATGATAAGCAAACCCATAATATAATATAGTAATATTATATTTGCATACATGTATACGGGTATCTCGGAGTGTTTTCAGTCATCCCGCGGTCACGTCATAACTTACAATTTCCCATCACAAAATTCCACTATATTTGCAATTTTACTTAATAAGAAATTCGAAAATTAATTGTGGAAATTAATATTTAAACCAGGGCTTGGAACCTTTATGATTTTTTCGGTTTCAGTTCCAATTCGGTTCTTCAAAAAAATAAAAATTCGGTACCGGTTTCGGTTCCGGTTCTTAAAATTACAGAATTAAAGTTTCGGTTCTGGTACCGGTAAATACCGGTATTTAGAGGTATATATTTTTTTCAAAAAGCAAAAAAAAAACAATTATAAACTTCATTCATGTACCCATAGGCGCAAATCGGGAGGATAAGGTCCCCAAACTTAGTCGCAGCCCCCCCCCCCCCAAAAAAAACCTATGATATACAATTTTAAAATTCTATATTGCAATAGTCTGCTTGCCTTTAATATATTTAGTCCCCCAAGTCAAAAGTTGAAATTGCGCCTATGCGCATATAGCTATATAACTATCGAGATTTCGAGATAGAAGCAGTCTGTGCTCAACATTACACTATTACCACATTAATTGATTGGTTGTTACTTGTTTTTGTATGATAGGTATCATAGGTAGTAGGTACTATGATATGCTATTTTTAGTGGTGGACACTGCCAAATAACGACTATCGAATTTATTATTGTAAGAAACTATTCAGAAATTATATTTAATGTGTATATGTATACCATTATAATATTAATTATTAGTCCTTGTCACAATCTGATAACAATTTATACGGGTGTGTATTTTGATCGCGTTAATAATCATTTTATTAGACATCATTCATCAACTTAAGATACAAGACATTGTATCCAAAACTATTTATAAATTATAAAATATAAGGAAATAATCTTAACGATATGCTTTACAAACCAACAGGCAAATAACAATATTTATTATATTTATTTTGGTAAATGCTCATAGTTTATTGTTTCCTAGAACTGTTAGATTATAGAAATGTACAATTATAATTACCCGTATTCATTTACAACCAAATTTTAAGAATCAACTATTATTTAATAATATGTATTACCTGCCTAAATATATTAAATAATTAAATAAAACTAGAACCGAAAAAAACCGAAATTAACCAAAAAATTGTCTTCTGATAAATATCGGAACCGGTTCCTGTTTAGGTTCCTAGGAAAATCAAAAAAGGGTTTTGGTAAGGTTCCGGTTCCAACATTTTCAATAGGTTCCGGTTAAAATACCGGTATTTTTAATTTCAGTTCCAAGCCCTGATTTCGACCTTCTGGATTTTTACATCGATAGATCTCAGCTGTTTTGTAAATATTGGTTTTATTTAGGTATATAATATAATAATTAACGAGGATAAACCATAGTTTGTAAATATAATCATAATTTTAGATTCCGATTAGAAACATGATGTGTGATTTTTTTTATCATTTTTTGCTGTTCATAAAAATTTGAAATTTATGTAGATATCACATTTTTTCTTGGTCAAAACGCTTGAATATGTAATACAAGATTATTCATAAGTTGTTCAATTAGTTGTAAAATATCGAAAATATAAAAGCATATTTTTTTTTTAAGAGTTTGAAAATCGAATTTTAAATCGTATACTATTTATATTTGTTGATATTAATTTCTATAAGATGGATGCGTAATATGTTAAATTATAGCTATCCTACAAAAATAGTTTTAGACGATTATTAACTCACGCTGTTGTAGTTTTTCTTGCACGATGAGCCACGAGTATAAGAAAAACTGACATGATATTTTAAAAAATTGATGGTTGTTATTAATAATGTATATATATTATTTTTAGTTATTGGCTGTCTGGAAAAAAAACAGTATTGGTACTCCCGGCACGCGTATTACATACTTTTAAAGCGTTTATCATCGTGTATTTTATAGTATATACTCTGCATGTGAATAGGTTTTCATAGATTTTAGAGTCAGATTATATAAGATATAAGAATAATTATTTTTTAGTTTTAAAACTTATGCATCCGATATCCTACAGCTTTAAATTTTCAATATAGTTTATTTAGTAATTATTTTAAAATACGTATTACTAAAAAAATATATAACATTTTAGATAATTTATTATACTTATTTTCGCTCGGTCCATGATCTATAGTTTCGTAAAAACACGTTGGCAAATATATGCTTTTATTCCTAATTTCATAACAATAATTTATAATATTGATCAATAGATAGGTACATCATAAATAAATTGTATCCATTGATAAGCCGCATTTAGCAGGAAAATATGTAATAATCATCTTAATCTGACGTCTATTTATAGAAATTCATTCATTTTCTCGGGATTTTTTACGTATTATTTACGACTTAGATTTATTTAGATAGATTTAATGAATTATAAGTACTTGAAAAGTTAAATAACTATTTTAAGACTACATAATATAAAAATGAACGTTTTAACGATTGTGACAAAATAAGTTGTACAAAAATATTGTATAGGCACATTAATTTGTTTAAGGTCAGGCCGATTGAGAGGTTATCGAAATGTTATCTGGAGACTTTAACGGACACATAAAACATATAAATAATGTTTCGTTTTCGATCGTGAATATTATAATATAATAAATACCTACTATAATTATTATAGCTTCAGCGACGCGTGTTCTTGAGCGGAGACGCTATGATAAAAACAATAAAAACTTACTGCGTGAAGATAAATTAAAAATAAATTATTCTGTTAGCACGCGCCCATTTACATAATTATACAGTGTTTGAATTTAAATTATTGGCGAAACAAAACAATAAAGGCCAATAAATCGGGCCGACCGGCGTTGATATTACATTATGATGAAGACGTCGTCATCGTGTCTTCCGATTATTGCTCTAAGGGATTTCGGGACACATATTATGAAACTCGTACCTACATAATATAATCTATGTATATAATGTATAGCTATGGCTCATGAATATTTAGTAACTACACCTTTTTTTTCATTTTTTAATATTTATAATATACACGAAATTCCTGATCAATCATTTTAGCTGTTGGCATTTCTGTTTTTTTTTCTCATTCTTTAATAGACCCCCCACAACATGCGACGAGCCGCCTGCGCGCTATTAATTAATGGACCCCAAGTGTTTTGGTCCGTGTGTGTGTGCGTGTACGACACATTCCTCTTTCTCTCTCTCTGTGTTTTCTCCATCCTCGGCGGCATCTGCACCGGTGTTCGACGTCTTACCTGTTCGACACCAGACAACCCGGCTCCATCACATCGTATATACCTACTGCACGCGTGTGTATTATGGCCCATTGTTTTTTATAGTCGGTCGTAAAACATATTCAAAGATAATTTCGGCAACACGTCGTCGTCGTCGTCGTTGTTTCCCGCTCAGAATGTTGAGCCTGGAGTTATGGCTTCAGTTATCAAAAAAATAAAAAAAAAAATAAACAAAAACAAAACATTTTTCTAAATATATTTTGTGGAGAGTGGAGACTCATTATTATACTTCGTTATAATACGTCGTATCGTATCGAGATCTCGATGGATATCCACACATTCATCCTTCATACAGTTCAAACTCTTTTAGCAGCACTAGCTATTATATAAATGTTTTTTGTCGTCTGCTGTATATGATATATAATGTTTTGAACGTCTTTGAGTATACTGCATAAAATCCGAAACCATGTAACTTCATAGTCTTTTTTTTTCAAAATGAAAATAATATTGTACATCTTTGATACCTATATCTATAAATATAATATATTACCTTCTAATAAATAATAATTGTATGGTTTCTAGAAAAACTATCCGAAACGAATTTCGTATTGTCCGGAGGAAGTCAGAGATACCACTATCAGATCAGATCGTCATAGTAATTACTCAATCGACGGAATACTGTCAGGTAATATGATTTTTTTTTTAACTGATAAATACCTAATATAATGATACTATACATGTTATAAACGGTATTTTATTTTATAATATAATATTACTAGAATATGATTGACAAAGACAGTAAGGAACAGATAAAAAAAATATACAAATAATACTTTTGCAACCCAATAATATATATATAGCTAGTATAAAAGTGGCTTGGACGCTTGGTGAAGCGCCGTTGTACGCTCAATCTGTGACAACGCTCTGAGCGTACGTACCGGCCGTCGTTGCTAGTAATCGGATGGGTGGCCACCCGGGTTTTTAGCAACAAATCCTTGTCACACATCCATAATGTGTTCCAACTGACCGTTCCCCCCACACAGTATCAGGCTAATGACCTTAGTAGTTGAAGCCTTAGTCCAAATAAAAAAAAGTAGTATAATATCAATAAATATAAATAATGTGTTATTAGAATATTGGCACAAGTATGATAGTTTAGTTATATACATTATACATACTTATATATTCCTCGAAAGATAACTATATAGATTATATTTTATAATCGGTTTAATAATCATTTGTAGTTAACAGGTATATTCTGAATCTGATCAATTAACCATACATACATAATATATTATCACGATATATATGGTTATTACAGTAAGTTATTGTCACTCATTGGTCATTATAACCATGCATATTAAAAAAAATTTAACCACGTAATTATTATGAATTATGAACAAAAATCAAGAAAACTATAAAATGACAAGGATGAGTGATGATTACTTTATTTCGTATAATAAAATACCACGAGTGTCATTATTAATATACCTATAAACAAAATATGTATACAAATGTAATCATGCATTTTTATTAAAATATATTATAAATAGGCGGTGAAAAAAATATTTAATATTTTTCAAAATTTCACTTGGATACGTGGTTTACAACTGACAATTACACATTTATGTCGCTATTTCATAAGATTTAAGAATATTAAATGTGTAATTTATTATATTTACCTATTCAAATTGTATAAAATAACTTACGCATGTAATACGCGCGTATGTATAGCTGGATTATAAATTTGCGTAACCGCATTAATAATAATCACACAGACACACTCGCACACGCACACGCGCACATACTACTACAGTACACCCATTAGTAAACACACAAAATGTTAAATATATATATCATCAAATATAAAAAATTACATTAAACATAAAATTGCTCGTTTTATTCAAATTCAAATTTTCTCCACTTCGTAGTACGCATATTATATTTTATATTTATATATGCTTAGGTAAATTGTAACGAATTGATTTATGTTAAAATAGAGGAACTAGACACAATATTATTATATATATATATACATGCGTGTATAGCCGTACATACATTTACCTATAACTGGTACTGCAGTAGTAGGTAAAAGATATGAATAATGTGAATACATACGTTTCAACATAAATCATAAGGCTCACACACAACTCGTTAGAAATTATATTTTACGGGGATACGGGAAAGAAAACGTTTTCTCAGCGTATACAGAAAAATGCAATGTGTCCGTTGTCCGGGTATAGGTTACTCGTATTATTATAATGCCACTACATATTATATTATTTTGTAAATAATAAATAACGCTTCCATTTAACACACATTTTCGCGATATTAAGCTCACCGAGTGACTATATAGTATGTAATATATCAACATCGCTTGGTATCGATTTAAAATCTTAAACGTTCGCGTCACACCGCGGGTACCTAATACTTATTTATTTTAATACATATATAAGTTGGTACAACGTAATGGTATTTACCGGTAGGTATGTATAAGAGCTATGTCTACCTCTGCATACACGTACCTACACTAATAGTATCCGGTGACAATGCCAACCTATAATGATGGTTATATTTTCGGTCGCGCTACCGATGTAAGATCAACACCGTTTAACTTGTTTTGGCCGTCGGCCTGGAAATCTGAGTAAATACGATATTGGTATTATATACGACCAGCTACCTATATAATATATAATAATATATCATATCGAATCGACGACCATGCGACTGCAGGGTGCAGTAGCGTAATTGACCGCTTTGGACTACCTATATATATAATATATACATAGGACCGGCGATGATGATGATGATGATGATGGTGATAACAATAATAAAAATATACAATAATACGTATTATTATTATTAAGGACGATCGAAAAACTTCCATTAATCACTAGCGCACAACCATTATTACATAATAATAATATAATGTTGTGGGGGGTACAAAAGCGTTGCGTGCCACTATTGTCATCGGGTATCTCAGCAGCAGCTACTGCAGATCGCTGAAAAATCTTAATGATGGATTTCACGGCATTATATGGTTATTGGCTTCCGGAATACATCATTAAGCCCCCGCGCAACGATGCACATTATTGTAAAAATAACATCGGTGGCATTTCTCAAGACTTCGGGCGGCGGCGCGCCGGGGACACGTATATCGTGTTTTCTCGACTACGTCCCGCTGTTTCAAAATTGTATCATAAACATATATCATTCGGAAATGGACTGCTACTGCATTGTTGCCACGCTGCCAAAAACCGTGTTCTAATATTTTACCCGGGATTTTTTTTCTTTTTTCCTAGGGCAGGGGGTGTTCTTACGTAATATAAATTGTTTCTTTTGACGTCGCTAGTGTGGCCAGATTTTGGCCATTATACATCGTTTATATGGAATTCATTTCACACCAAATCATATATATATAAGTTATTGGCAAAATGGAAAGCCAAACAAGTAGATAATATATAGGTAGGTATATGTATAATAATACTTACACAGGTACTTACTATTCACATTACACTGCTGCCGGCCGATAATTTTAAAGGTAGACACTAATACTTGATCGAAAAGCACTATGAAATTTTTTTCAAATTATTGTTCTTAAATTAATTTTCAATGATTTCAAAACAACGTGCTGTGCCTTTTTTATGGTTGACGTTAAGTAAACGAGTTGCTAATTAGTTCCAAGTACTTATAAAGTTATGATAAGCTGTGGTACTACGCTATAATAGACAATTTGACATTACAATGTGATATCTTTTTATGTTAGTATTATTGAAATATTGAATCTTCAATTTTTGTAACAATAATTTCACCATTAAGACAATTATTTATAACCTGAATGCTGTAGGTTGCTTAGTAAATTACTCTTTTAGCCTTGTATGATATTATCATAAGCAACTAAGCAATTCCACAGGAATTTGTTATATTATCAAAACAAATTTTGCATTTCACGAGTAGGTACATACAAATAATACAATATAAAAACGTTATCGTAGATGTAATATAATAACATTAATAACTAATGGTGACTTCGATAATATTTTGATAAAGATTAACAATTTCGTCAAAATTAATATTTAGAAATTATAGAAACACTCCAAGTACTGAGCCGCGGCTTGTCAATTTCGAATGAAGAACTGCAACCCTGCAGTGCCCTCATCTATCATGGCACCTATATTTATAATAGGTTCTTTATAACAATTTATAAACTATAGATAGACGTGTATGAACGATTATTATAATATTATTGCTTATTCATGTATATACATGAATCACAAAAATGAATATCAACAATGTGTGAAACAATAATATTTGCGGTATCCGTCTATACCTATACAGTATTATAATAGTGCGTGATATTATGCCACGCGTTCACGTCGGCTATTGTCGGAACAAATATTATATTATATACCTATATGATATTCGCGAGTGGTGGTCGGAAAATCATGAAGTGACCTGAAAAATGAAATTACAATGAAGTGTCGACGGACTGTCGTGAACCGCACATTAGGCCCCAGCTGCAGTGCACGGGCACATTATAATAGCGCGGCACGGAGAGAAGGGCGTTCGGTAAGTTAATACGTCGCACCAATAGTGGTCGGCGCGAGATCGTCGCTGGATGCGTGTGATGTATAGACACATAACGTGAAATATGGGACACGATAATAACACACCTGTGTGCGAGAGAACATATCTGACGACAGCGACAATAATTAAACTAAAATATACGAATTAACCTTGAAGTTCCCTTAAAATAGAAAAAAAAATACAACACGATCGTGTTTACAAAATATAGTGAAAATCGTTACACGCGGGGTCTATAATTTTCAAACGCCACAGTATAACGCGCGGTTTTTGTACCAACTCGACGCCGAAATAATGATATTATTAGATATTAGAAACAATATTATTATAATAATATAATAATGCATGGGTAGGTACCCATATATTTTTACATAGCGTTCCTTACATATTATACGACGCGTGTGGGTCAGTGGCGGATCGCCAGGCGAGGCAATAACCTATAGGCGCACAGCCTCACCTCTGTATATTATAATAAGAGGGGAGGAAAGAAAAAATACAAACATTTTTCGTTTAAATATTTCTCCACGTTCGAACAATATTATTATTTACCTTTTTTTCATTATTTGGTAATTTTGACTAATTCTGCAAAGAATACAATACATTATATGAAATATAATAAACATTTTATAATTTATTGCGACCGTCGCGATGACACCTAACGTTCACGTCCCACCTCGAGTGAAGCGAAAAATATAAGATTATGATCGAATGAAGAAGAAAAATAATATGCTCAGAAGTCTCCGAATTCAAACAACTCTCATCACATCGATTATCATAATATTATTTTGATACACTTTGCATTTTCTGAAATATTATGCCAGATAAGTGGAAAAAGTTTTACCAGTACCATGAAGGTCCTACAAAATACAGTATGTATTCGATACCTAGGTATATTTTGAGGTTTGACATCTTCAGTTAATTCGTCAACAGACGATCAACTCATTTCCCCCCTTTGTTATACATTACATTGTTTTTATTAACATATTAATATTATACATTATGTATAACAATCATCAATGCATGTTTTCATCAATGTGCATTTATACTGTATGAACCTATAGTTTGAAGTAATGAAGTGTATATTATGCACTTTTCAAGAAATT